GCTCTCTCTTCTCTCTCTCTCTCTTTCTCTCTCTCTCTCTCTCTCTCTCTCTCTCTCTCTCTCCTCTCTCTCTCTCTGATTGTATAAGTATAAAAATCTTTCCCTTGCCTTTGTCATTTCACAAATTTTGACATGCATGTGAACATGAATGGCTGCACACTCCTTGTGTTCAGTGCACCTCACTGTCCTTTAAGTGAAGTGTGTGCTTGGGTAGATTTGCTCTCCATTTTTTTTACTGGGTAACTTTACTGTGACTCTAAGTGATTCCAATTTTTGTCAGTTGTGCTCCAGGCGTAAGGATTTTCTTTTGCTAAAGGTTTATTATAGAGTATGAATTTTTTTTCATATTTCCTTTCCCATATGTTTACTTTTCCTCACCTTGCCAAAGAATGCAAATGAGGATCTTAATGCATGTGTTTTTCATTTGTCTCTGTCAATATTTTGGAATTTATGAATAATATCAGAAATACATATGTTTTGATGATAATGCAATTAGAGCATTTCCAGAAATTAATGTAGTATATATAACTTTCTTTGATGACCAACACAAATACTTATTTCTAGAATGAGTACAAGTGAATGTGTCCTCGGGATTGATATCGGGACAACATCTGTTAAGTGCTGTCTGGTGGATGTCAATTCGAGGGAAGTAATTTCAAGTCAGAAGAAGGACACGTACTCTGATGTGCCCAGTGAACTTGGTAAGATACGCTCATTTGTGAATGATGAATACATATATATCATGGTTATACCTGTATAAATTTTGTAGTCTAGTACTTTTCCATTAATGCATTTGTTTTTACATTTATTTCTTATACTCATGCATGTGCATATGCAGTTGCTGGTTTTCAGTAGATGATTAAATACTCTTGAATTATATAGCTAATTCCATTATGTTTTTCTCATCTTTGCTTTTCTTTTTCATATTAAAAAACATGTACCTTTGAGTATGTTTCACAATTTTTTATTTTCATTTTTGTTGTTGGATACATCTTTACTTATTGTGGTGTGTATTTGAGTGTTTTTTGTAGTTTAGTGATTAGTGTCAGCCTCAGAATACTTGTCCAGGCTTATTTTAGTGACAATGTATTTTATATTATTTTCTGGTAATAATAACATACTGTGCTCAGTCACCTAGCAGTCCCTCTCAGCTTAACAATTTGATTACCCCTTTCTATACATGTACCTAATACCTTGAAATAATCCTGCAGGTACAGAAGGTAACAAACAAGATGTTCCACGTATATTGTCAGCCCTGCAGATGTGTGTTTCCAGGCTACCCAGAGAAGCTACACGCAAGGTGACACGTATAGGTGTATGTGGCCAGATGCATGGCTGTATGCTGTGGAAACATGGACAGGCTTGGGAACAAAAGCCGGATTCAGATAGGTAAGATTTTAGGTTGCCAGCCAAGTGAAAACATATCTTCTGGAAGAGAAGATGTGATGGAACTAGAAATAAGTGCCAGGAGAATCAAAATTGAGTGAAGACTGTTTTTGAAAACCAGTAGAATCACCCAAGCTAGTATTAGGTCTTGCAAAATAAAATGCAGTACTTTAAGAAGGGTATAAACTATTTCCTGCCAATAGTTTGATAGCTCATTAAGGTTGATGGAGGCAGAAAAATCAACAGCAAAATTATCATACAGTTTAGTACATCTCATTTATTTATTTATTTATTCAGTTTTTATTGAGAACAAGCTTTTGGGGATGAAATATGTCATACAGCATCATAGTTAGTAATTCACTCTCGCTTAATTCCACTCACATCTAAAAAAAAGTATATACCATGATGGTAGGATTGACTCAGAGAGTAGAGGAGCTACATGCAGAGGCGGGGTTTCCATGGTGGCACAGGGGGGTACCTGCCCCTCCTGAAATCTGATTGGCTACCCTGTGTGCCCCCCAATGGTCATTGACTCCTCGTAATGGCCCCCCTGTATATGTAATGTGGCGGCCCCCCCAGATTTATTGTCGTGACCCCTGTGCCCCCACCAGAAAGTTTTCTGGACCCCCCCCCCTGGCTACATGGGGAGCAGGTATTTAGAGATGGTTTGGTAGATGTAATTGGAGGAATCTTGCTAAGCAGTGTAAAGTGTATCAGATACTACATATATCTCATTTACAGCAAAACAAGCTTTAGGAAATCCATTTCACTTTTTAGCAGCATGCATGAGATGTTAACATGATCATGGCAGATATCATGGCCATGCTGTTATGAATAGGAATGTAGGATTTAATTATTCCAGTACTTGAATATCTGAAGAACATGATTTTGTATGCATTCATGAGTTTGTTTTGAGAAATGCACATTTACACAAGACTCTTTTTCAGGTTTGAGATTCGTGAAGTTAGCAACTCATACACTTGGCAAGACAATAGATGCACGCAGGAATTTCTCTCATCTTTACCAGTTCCAGAATCACATCTTTCCATTGCATCTGGATATGGATGTGCCACGTTACTGTGGTTTTCCAAGAATAAACCAGAAAAGTTAACAAGGTATTTCAGTTTCATAGGTTACAATGAATGGCATTGCATTTTCTGTGTATTCATTGTTTTGTTTCTTTATTTTTTTGTTTTGTTATAAAAGAAATGTGCTGTATAGTTATCGTCTTATTGCAGTTTTGTTGTTTTATTCTTTTTCAAATTATGCTGGCTATTACCATTTAGTCTAGATTGATGTTAATAAATCCTTTAACTGAACAGATTCAACAGAGCTGGAACTATCCATGACTTCCTTGTCTGTATGTTGTGTGGGCTAGACCGGCCTGTTATGTCAGTACAGAATGCTGCATCATGGGGTTTCTTCAACACCAACACCAAGGTATTGCCTCCTGACTGAGGAAATGGAAGCTCATTGTTGTAGTGCATGTCGGGAAATGCACTTTTGATCGAAATGGTTTCTGTTCAAGACATGCTGCAGTAAGCACAGAATTAAAACAGTAAGAGTACAGTTTCTTAACCATACACTGATATAGACTCTGACTGTATGATTAAAAGGTACTGTATTTAAAAGCTTATCTTTTTATTTAGATACAGTATTGGGTGGTATACATTTAATGGAATGCATTTTTAAGGTGTAAAGATAGTAATTATTTTTTTAATTGCTTTTATTATTAGGGAAGAGCTTTCTGCTGACATGTGTTATAAGGTAAGACTGAAGTACTGGATGATGATAACAGTTAAATTGTTATATTCCCTCATATTTAATATTTTCCCAAGTAAACATTCTTCATGGCTATGCAGATTTTCTCAGGTCCTCTTCTTAGTTTAATTATAGCAACTGCAAAACTGATCTGTATGTTTATAAGGATGTGTCAATTTTGGAAATACAAATTCTGAATTAAGATAGATATTGCTTGCTGAAAAGTGACAATATCTTACCAACAGTTATTGTTCTGGAATGCAGAACACCTCTTGCTTCTTTCTCCATTAGATATTTAGTATCATAGGTCTCATCACATTGCTGACAGACTTTGAACAAAACACATGGGTAGCTTGCAACTTTTCATTTATGCTGTAGATGTTAGATATCATATGGAAAAAAGGAACATTAAGATGCATTTTTATTATAGAATGATGAGGATGTGTATTCACTTGTTGCGTATCTGAATATTCTAACAGCATTCTACTGATGCATGTCAGTATGTGATATAGAAGTAGGCAATGTTAGCCATTTCTTAGTATTTTCTTGAAAGGGAGGATCCTGCTCAGCTAAGGCATTGTAAACAGGGAGCATGTTATGGTTGTCCTGATGCATGTTAATTCCTATTGTGGACTATTAAAGATAATAAAAACTCATGGTCAGATGGGTACATATATATATATTTTTTTATACTGGCATGTTTGAATAGTTGTTGAACAAAAATGTTCAGGGTTATTGCTAACTCAGAGACAAAGTATTCCTGCTGTCAGAAAGAAAAAATGACATTCAATATTAATCCTGTGTCCTCTTAACTGATAGGGTATGCATTGATATGGTGGAATCTATGGTCTGTCATGTCACTTGGAGATAAGTGACAAGGATACAGTACCCCAAAGTGCAAACCAGGTTTTAGATTATTAGAGTTTGTAATTAGAATGAATATTGATTTTCAGAACACAGTTTTGTCTTGTATCAATGACTTTCA